GGCTCGGGGGCGGCTTCTTCCCCGCCGTTGCCGGGCTCGGGGGCGGCTTCTTCCCCGCCGTTGCCGGGCTCGGGGGCGGCTTCTTCCCCGCCGTTGCCGGCTTCTTCCCCGCCGTTGCCCTCAGGAATGGACCTCGTCTATATTCGAGTTGGTCTTTCTCTGCACCTTCCCTGTAGCTGTAACACAATCTGCATTGTGTATTATTACCCTGATGTACTGACGTAAGGTATGAATTGCCTGGAAAGCATGCAAAACAATATTTTCCCCTTCATATCGATACGTGTGGCACCGGGGCGTAGATAAGGTGAATCGCCAAGGTCTTTTTCAACCCCAGTGCACCTGCTCTTGCTCCATCACTGAATCGCTTCAGCTCAGTAACTTGCTGAGGATTTTCCTTTGCCCTCTCCCCTGCTCCCAGCACAGTCACCTGGTTCCTGCAATACAGGAAACAGAACTGCGTGTGCACGCACTGTATTGCAGCCGTGTTCTCACTAACATTATACATTGCTCTGTCGTAGCTTCCTTCTTCTTGTATTCAGTGCCTCAACTAATAAATGCAGGTATCACATGTGCCTTCTTAACCACCCCAGCTACCTGTTCTTCTGTGGACGTAGGTGCCACGTTCCCAATGATCCTCTATACACCGATCTGGTTCACTAATGCCCTTTAGGGAAGGACATCCGCCATCCTTATCTGGACTGGCCGACACGTGACTCCAGACCCACAGCAATATGTGGTTGACTCTAATATGCCCTCAGGGCAATTAGGGATGGGCCATAAATGCTGGCCTGGCCAGCAACGCCTTTATCGTGTCAATGAACTTTTTTAAAAAAATGGCCAGTCTCTCCAAGGTACTGGGAACAGTACGACACTCTCAGTCTTACTCGGCAGATGGAAACTGATGATGCTTTCTGCTTTCCTCCCGCCTCCCGCTAGGACGAGGATCTTTTCAACCCAGACTACGTAGAGGTGGATCGGCTACTGGAGGAGTCTCACAGTGTGGACAAGGACAATGGGGAGGTAAGTGAGCCAGGCCAGGCCAGGCACTGAGGTGAGAGCCACAGCCTATAGAGTTGCTGTGCTGTGGGAGGGTGTGGCCACCTGGTTACACTGACGTTGCACATTGGCACAAATATGAGACGACTGTTTGCATCAAAACAGTTGCGTGTTGCACATTAGGGTACGGCGGTGCCGTCGGAGGGTCGGCGCTGAGGGAGTGCGGTGCCGTCGGAGGGTCGGCGCTGAGGGAGCGCGGTGCTGTCGGAGGGTCGGTGCCGAGGGGAAGGGGGTGTGTGGTCTGCTGTGTCCCCCTCAGTCCAGTCACCCCGTGTGTGTGTGTCTCGCCATGTGTTTTGTGCCCAGCCCGTGGTGTATTACCTGGTGAAGTGGTGCTCACTGCCGTATGAGGACAGCACCTGGGAGCTGAAGGAGGATGTCGATGAGGCCAAGATCGAGGAGTTTGAGAGGCTGCAGGCGAGGAAACCGAAACTGGGCCATGTGGTGAGTGACAGGGAGCTAGTTCTGTTTGAC